GGAGCATAGAGCTCGTTCAAAATACAAATGAATAAAGGCTGATAGTTTCGAAAGAAACTGTTTGGGGCTGCGTCGGTGGGAGTAACGAAATAATTTGGATATATCAACAAAGTTGAAATGGTAAATTGGCCACCGTAACGATTACAAAAGCTGACGTTTCGAGCGTTAGCCTCTCGTCGGAGCGTTAGCCCTTCGTCGGAGCGTTAGCCCTTCGTCGGAGCGTTAGCCCTTCGTCGGAGCGTTAGCCCTTCGTCGGAGCGTTAGCCCTTCGTCGGAGCGTTAGCCCTTCGTCGGAGCGTTAGCCCTTCGTCGGAGCTCCGACGAAGGGCTAACGCTCGAAACGTCAGCTTTTGTAACCGTTACGGTGGCCAATTTACCATTTCAACTTTGTTGATATATCCAAATTATTTGTTACTCCCACCGACGCAGCCTCAAACAGTTTCTTTCGAAACTATCAGCCTTTATTTCCTAAGGTGCCGACGAAGAGAATTTGTGAAAACATCAAGAGCTTCTTTGGTTGTTGATCATTTCCTTTATTCTCGTGACCTTAATGTTTGATTCAGGGGTGATATTGTAAGGAGAAATTACTATCACTGATTCCTGTGGCTTATGGATGTTTTTTTTCTTCTAGTTCGCCACATCAGATACATCAGTCAAGTTTGCCCATGTTTTGCGGTAAGGAAACATGTTGAAGACTTTGAAAGATCTGTTTGAGAGGGTGGGAGCATGTTGTGTTTGATGGGGCGAAACCTCTATAAAGCGGAGGTAAGTGAGATCATACCACTAAAACTATTGGCTCGTTCTAGGGGCACTCTTGTAGCGTATTTTCTCTTTTCCTACCTGTACAGCGGCTGATTTCTCGCCCAAATAGTTATCCTTGTACGATATAACTTCAACTTCTACATCTTTAAGGCTGTTTTCTTTACTTTGAAATCTACAGATTGGTGCTCCCAATCCTGCTCCGCCCGTAATCTTGTTCTTACATTCGGCTATCGCCTTTTGGACAGACTCCAGAGATTCTCCATCTATTGTAAACACTTCGGTCATATCATCTGTCAACAGATGACACGAGTAGCCAATATTGATGGCTGTTTCTGTTGAACAAGAAAAAGGAAACTGGGTTCAAATTTTCATTAAAACTGCCTTGTAGCATGAAAATTTTACAGGTATCATTCTTGCGGCGCATTGCCCTTGATCCGTACAAATATTCTCCCAAGGAAAAAAGTTCCGTAAAATATAAGACTGCACAAATTTACTACCTTTTATCCAATTTGAAACTCCAAAGGACTACACTGAGGGTAAGGGAAGGCTTTTTGTTTGAATCTCGGCCTTTGGGCAATTAGGTTCTAAGATTTAAACTAATTTTATGAG